TTGCTAACCCCATCGCCCTCATCACTCCTTTGAAAAAGCGTGTAAGAAGAGAAGAGCGGGTAATCTTCAACAGGCATTCATGCAAAAGCACGTGCTATAATTATGCAAGCCTTTGGGAGGCTGAAGACTTGGTGGAGGTCTTCCTGCATGCCCTTGAAGTCCACCCACAGTTTGGAACACAATAATAGAAACTTTAAAATATTAGGTGTGTATGAACATAGATATTCTTGCATTACCAACACAACATAACGTTCCTAAACCGGTTTGAAAAAGAAAAACAGTAATTCTTATTACATTGGCTAAAAGAAGACCTCATATAATTCAAAAATAGGACTGGGAAACTGTTAGACTCAGCAGATGTATAAAAAGAGATTATTATTAATACATACATCTGTTTATAGTTAGTTTATGAACTGCTGCACCTGCCAGCCAACTTTCAAGTATCGAGCTTAAAATCAGGAACAGAAACATGAATAACAAACAGGGGCAGCAGAAGTTTTTTCCATGCTTATGAGAAAAGATGAGAATAATGGAGGACATCATTGTCCCAAATTATGACAGTTATTGAAGGCTGTGTTAGTAGAGAGACGTGTAATAAGTAAATCTGCTGTTGGACTTATGCATTTAGATGTTGAATAATTTGCTATAATTGATGCTACAGATTTGGGTTTAACCCTTATTCTGTCTCCTGCCATTGACATGCCAGGATTGATGAGATGATCTACTGTTCCCTGAATTTGGAAATGTCAGTTATTGCATGTCACTCAGTGTGAATGCCAGGTTCTTCTCCTGTGGATGCTCTGCCTCAGTCTGTCCGTCTACTGGCATTCTGAATGTGAATACTAGGCTTCTGGTTTGACATCATTTGGGGCAATCATACTCCCAAACTCTCATCATACTTATATCTTTCTGATATGTTGGATGAAATGTATTTTGTTTGGTTGGTTGAATGCAGAACGTTTTACTCAAACATAATTTCTGGTCAATTTACCCAGAGCAAAGAACAGATTCCACTCTATGATGTTCTTATTGATTGGTTGAGAAGGCTTTTTATTGTTCTAAAACATTAGGTTATGAAATGTAAAACTATGTATTGTTCCCCTGAGAAAAAAATGTCTTTAAGGTGCACAGTTGGACTTTGAGGGAACATTTATGTTGTTTGTTCCTTGATGAACAAAAATATACCTGCACAGAACGTTTTTTCTGAGTATGTTGAAGCTAAACTGCAGAAACAGCCTGTTTTGAATTTAAATGTTTCTGTGATGTCACGAAAACCAGCACACATATATTATAATAATAACTGCTGCACCATTTAAGGTGGCGTGGAAAATTTCGTTGAAGCTGGCCGATAGGAAGCTGACCTCAGCCTCATATTTCAACTACAGATAGGTTAGTTTGATAGTCTAAATATCCATAACAGAAATTGTTTCCAGCGCTAAAAGAATAATTAGGATATTTTGAACCTGAATCAGCTGATTGCGGGGGAATAGTAATATTAAGCTGAGTCTGAGCTGAATTAAAGTTTGGTAGCTAGCATAGCACAAATCACAAACTGCTAGGTTTGAGCTCAGTGTGAGCTGTCCTGACAACCAGAGTAACAAATTTTGCGTTGATTATGGTTATTAATATTTTGAGTTGACCACAGCCTTTTCACGTCTTCATTTTGAATCTTTTCATGTATTTTCACATCTTTTCATGTCATGTCAAATTATGGAGTGTAGTATCAATAAGCATTGGTATTGATATTGGTATCGGTACTCTAACAATACCCATCCCTGCTTATAATGTATATGTATAATATAGGACACGTTTCACCCTGATTTAACATTCACCCACTCCTCAGAGGAAGAGAGCTTGTGACGCAATAGAGACCGTACATATAAGAAAGAGTTCAAGGGATAAAATCCTGCCTGATTTTTATTTATTTTTTTTTAAAAGGGGATAACCTACTACACTGTTTTGAATGATTTTAATTTATAAAAGTAAACTGACTGTTTTAAAATTTCAGCTTCATTGAACATGAAGTAGTCAAGTAACAGAATAATTATCATGTGTTTTAGGTTCTGTTAACTTATTATTAAGGAAGATAAAATTAAAAATGAAGGTAGCCAGATTAGCAATGGACTGGCGACCTGTCCAGGGTTTTTCCTGCCTTCCCCCTGATGAACACTGGGATAGGCTCCAGTACCCCCCACAATCCAGAAGGATAAGCAGCTTAGAAGACGGATGGATGGATGGCTAGCAGATTAACTTTCTAAACTATAATAATAATAATCACTTATTTAAAAACCAGCGCAACCCGAGCCTGATGTTGTAGAAAATGTTTACCCCGTATTTTATTTGGCCCGTCGTGCTCAGGTCGGATAGTGGAATGTTTATCAGGACAAATTTACCAAGATGGAATGCTGTGTTTTATCGTCTTTTATATTTAAACCATTGTTTAGTGAAGAAGAGTTTTGCTGAATGGTTATTTATCTTTTAAAATATATGAAAACTACCAATGAATTGTTTCTTTGTTGGCAGGATATTAGAGAGGAGATGTGTAGCTGCATGAGTTTCATAGTCATTTCCTGAACCATATTAACAGTAAATTACAATAAAATAGCAGCTTTATCCTGTGACTCCACACTCACCTGGACTGGATGTGTTTACGTAACTACCATTGTAAAATCACTAGCTAGTAAATTACTGTAAATTTACATATAAAAAAATACTTTCATCAGATCTACAAATGTTTTAAAAAATATCAGTGAATATATTTTGCACTGTCTATGCACAGAATATGTCTAATATGCATTTATCAGACATTTTAGTTTTGTTTATAAAACTATAAACCAAACCAAACCAAAAACCTATATCTGGCAAAACCAATGAACAAAAACATTTTGTCAGCACCTCAGTGTTCAAACGTTCAATCAAAAAAACAAAGCCAAAAACTTAGGATGATACACCACACGTGAATCGTGAGAAAAAAAAAAAACAATTAAAAAATTAGAAAAGTGAATGGGTGAAATCCCATAACAGTTCTACAATGAACTGGGCTAAACTCCAGATCTTTACCTGCCCAGCCAGCATCCCTGCTTAAGACTACATCACCACTGAATTGCTGTTTGAAAATCTATTTCAGTAGCATTACCTAACTTTTTGTCAGAGAACTGAAAGATCTTCAACATACATTAATACAGTGGCATGCAAAAGTTTTGGCACCCCAAGAGATTTCAGCTCTCAGATAACTTTTACCAAGATCTTAATTTGTTGATGCTGACTCATCTACTGCAAATGAAATTTACCTATAGGTACAAAAAAGTAACCTGAACCTGAGTAGACTAAATGTTAGCTGTGTAGCAGTAGGCAGCTAATGATGGAACCACTGAGGAAGTAAATATTGAGACATATCTAAGATTGAGGTTGGTCTAGGATAATCATTTTAAACTAGCTTATTAACATTTGTTAACTTCACCCTACATAGCTGGTGGACATTGCTAGATAACATCAGTTTTGTCCACATTTAGGGGAAGTGACCTAATTAAGCCAAAGCACCATAAAAGCCCACCTGTTTGAGATACAATGAGGGGAAACGGATATTTAGACACTTTAGTGTTTGTTATTTAATATATTTCCAGCGCATACAGTTCTGCAGTTTTAGCACCCCTGGTAAGGAAGGGTAAAAGGGTTTTCACCTTTTACACATTCACCTTTTGGTAAATTAGCTTAATCTCACACCGAAAAAATGGGAAAATCCAACCTTTAAAAGAAGTAAAATTATTCTGAACAAAAAAAATCCCTTATTAAGAAATAATTATTTTTAACAAATGTGCCACAATTATTGGCATCTTTGCATCTAATAGTTTGTACAACCTCCCTTTAGCAATAAAACAGGACCTCTCCTATAACATCTTATAAGGTTGGAGAGTACAGAACAGGGACTTTGAGACCTTTCCTCTTTACAGAATCACCAGATCATCCAGGGTCCTCATTCTTCTCTTGTGCACTCTCCTCTTTAGTGGGTTGCGATGGCCACAACAGAAGCTTGATTTTGTGTTGATTTTTTTGTTAATCTAGTGATATGTTTTGGATCATTGTCTTTCAGGAAGATCTAATGATGACCCAATTTTAGTTTTTTGGCAGAGGCAGACAGATTTTGATTTAAAATGTCCAGACCCTCCACCATACAATGGGCATCTCCTATTTCAATTGAAGGTTTGAATTTTTCAGTGTGAGATTAAGCTAATTCACCAAAAGGCAAATGTGTTATAACCCTTATAACCACACATGGAGAAAAAGATCAGATTTGGGCCACTTTTACCTGCTGTGTAAACATAGCCTTAGTGTCCTCTGGTGTAGAGCATGACACTAACACAGAGCAGGCTAATCAGAGCTACATAATGTATATTTACACCGTGACAGGGCTACACTCTGGTTTATGGGAGTACAGATGAGCCAATGCAACACACAGGAATGAATGATTTTGTGCAGGTTTGTAGGGAACAAGACTGGCATGTGGTCCTGTGGACAATTCAAATTCATTTCAGTTCATTTCAAATGTTCAGTATTTGTACAGACCTTTTTATAATGGACATCATCACAGAGCAGCTTTAGAGAAATTTGGGTGTAGCGCCCATAATGAACATCACTGAGGGAAACAGAAGTCGGATTTCCATTCACATATTTTAATGTATATTTTGACATATCGACTAAAAAAGACTTCATAGGAACAGCAAATGTTGAATAAAATGGTGGAATTTTTGTAGGTAAAAAAATGTGTTTAATTATAATGGAAACCCCTTTTTTCATATAAATAATGAAAATGGTGATAGAATAATGTGGCTCACATAGCTGAGAAACAGGACGAGGTAGCCAGTACCAGTAGACAGCAATATTTACCTTGTTTATTTGTGAGTGTGCATGTGTGTGTTTAATCTGTTTTACTCGTTACTTCATTGTGTTACATGTGCGTGTTGATCTGTAAATGTGAGAAGTTTTTCTTCTTCTCTCTACAGGCTGCCCTGGTGCAGGATTACAGATGAAGGCTGTGCTGTTCTGTTTGATGCTCTGAAATCAAACCCCCCATCACAGCTGAAAGAGCTGAACCTGAGCGGCAATAAACCAAGCGATTCAGCAGTGGAGGCACTCTGTAAACTACTGATGGACAAAGACTGTAAGCTGGAGAGACTAGAGTGAGTTACTGACTTACTGTCTCTACACACACACACCACATTAGATCGGTCTCCTAAGGGTGATCTCTGGAGACTAAAAGCTCTGATTTTCAGATAAACGATATTGTGACTATTTTGCTGCATGTTATAGAGAATGGTTTTATCATACTTCTATATCTCTTAATTCACAGATTTGTAATATATATCAATTGAGTCTTGACTATAATGAAATATTGAAAGAAAAAGACTTAACAAATGCCAGAATGTTTGTCAGATGAATTTGAAGAACTCCAAAAACATTTTTATGCTGCTACAGAAAACAACATAGTAAATGGAAAGGAAAAAGAAAGAGAGTCTAAAAATATTAAAGATGTGATAGACCTGCTGGTATGAAGTCTGAGTCTCTCTTCTCTCCACACTCACTGTGTTCTTCTTATCCGTTGAAGAACACAAACAGCTCACACAGCCTCAGCCTGCAGCTCCATCAGCCTCATGGTGTTTGGAGACCAGTGTGGACGCTAGACATGAGACTGTATTCAGTAATTCTGTATGCTGAGATATTAAACTCACAAGTAACATTAGCATTGATGCTTTAAAATACACTCACAGAAATTTAGTCATATAAGCTGCAGCTTCACCAGAGATTTGTAGACACTCAGATCAGCTCTGCTTTCACGAACTCCCACTACACAGTCACAGTCTGACCATGTGCTAAACTCCCTCCACTGAGTGGATCAGAGCAGGTAAACACACCCAGAGTGAGCAGCACACAAACCCACAGCACAGCAGAAGAAGGAGCACTCTCACAACTCTCCTCCTTCAAAGGTGATGTTCTGCATTTTTTAATGCATATTTTAACACTGAATAAAACGACTTGATAGGAAAAACAAATATTGAATAAAATAGGCACAATTCACTTAAAAGTTTATTCGTTTGAGAGCATTTTGTTGGTGAATAAAAGGGAACGTTAAGGATGATGAAAACATGTTTGCCCAAGGGTGGCTACACACCTCCAAAAGTGGTGGGGCAAAACATATTGTAAAAAAAAAAACATATCTGGCTGTGTAACAACGTGCAACTACGCCACTGACTAAATGAAACTACCTTTCACGTTAGGCTGATGACATGTCTCTGTAAACTCAATTATGAACAGAGTCAGTGTTTGTTTTGACTCTGCGCTTCACTGCGTTCAGCCTCAGATAGCAAACCTTGCTAGCTCTCTAAAGAACATCAGGCTATTTTCATACCCAGCAGACTTTACACTAGGCAAAGGCAGGAGGCTGTCTAGGGCCCCATGAAAATACAAATTAGATATTCTGCATGTGTCAAAGTTCAGTAACGTGTTCTGAAATATATATACATTTTAAAAAAAGCTTTGATTTGCTGTTGTAGCAGTTATTTTCAGTAATGTTAATGCAGCCCCACCCCCAGGTCAGGTTATAATGGACTATTCCATGTTGTCATGTGATGAGACAACTGTGTGACTGGTACAAGCAAAGTAAGCAATAATCTACATTTTGGAGAGGCAGCTCGTCAGTGTCGTTTTCTGGGTGTTTAGAGGGAAAATCTAGCTAATAAAGTTAAACAAGTGTAGTACAGAAAGGATAAAAGAGGGGGAAAGCAAAAGGCTACACTCCCAAAGCTCACATTTTTGAGTCATAACAGTGTTAATGTTTCAGTGCAGTTACTAATTACTTCTTTTGAAATGTTCTCATGACTAATTCTGCCTTACTCTGTACCAAATGATCTTACTATGTTGGCAGATACTTTTGCTTGTTTCAGCTAGATTTCATGGAACAGACAAAATCATCTGCTAGTATAGTGAGATAATTTCACTGCATACAATGATTTAAGTTAAACAAAAAGGTTTAGCAACAAGTCACATAACCTTATAATATTCTTACAGCAACCTCAAAATGAGAAATATTAGATATAACGACTAGATTTAAGATAATTTCTCTTGCCAAGGTATACATTTTTGCAGTGTGGACAGTTACATCACTAATATTCAAATATGTTTCCAGGGGGCTCTTTTCTTGTCTTTTGCCTAGAGCCCCTGAATCACTAACTATCAATAAAAGTTGTGGGGAATTGTTTTATTTCTAGTTTTCTTTTTCCTTTGTTGTAAGTTGTTATTCATTGGTAAGCAGTATTATAATGCTGAAGGGTTGTTTTGAGAAGTCACTTATGTTTTGTTCTCGTGGTTTGAACAATAATAGTAAATGACCTTTACGACACCCCTAAGGAGGATTTTGCCTTCCTGCGACAGAGCACTCAGTTTACGACACTAAGGTATTTACAATAGGCTCTGAGTCCCTGAGAAACACGACTCAGTTCTTTTATGACAGGATCTAAGGCTCTGAGAACTCTGACTTCAGTTTTACGATGGTACCAAGGGTCCTGGGGGGATAGTCAGTGGCAAAGTATAAGAGCTGGGTGTCTGAACTGCTGTTTAGACGGGGATTTTAAGCAGAATTGGACAGAGTGCTCTTTCTTTGAATAAATCATTGTTTCTGCAACACAGCTCCTATACCTTGTCATCAACTACAGGTCAGCGCTCCATGTAGTTTATCAAATAGTGGTGGGTCAAATTCCTGCTTGCCCCCATGGTTTTGGCAGACCTGCATTTTTAGAATAAATAATGTAAAGTCACGTAGAATAATGTGGCGCAAGTGTTTATGTTTAAGTGCTTGGCTATAACTACAAGACATAAGGTAGCAGGTGCCAGTAGACTGATGAAGAAATTAAAATTTACATGTCAAATTTTCATGTAACTTCATTGTGTGTGTGTGTGTGTGTGTGTGTTTTGTGGTGTTTAATCTGTGTGTTGCTCGTTACTTCATTGAGTGTGTTTGTTGTGCTGTTTAATCTGTGTTGCTCATTACTTCATTGTGTGTGTGTTGTGGTGTCTAATCTGTGTTGCTCATTACTTCATTGTGTGTGTGTGTTGTGGTGTTTAATCTGTGTGTTGCTCGTTACTTCATTGAGTGTGTGTGTGTTGTGGTGTTTAATCTGTGTGTTGCTCGTTACTTCATTGTGTGTGTGTGTGTATGTTGTGGTGTTTAATCTGTGTGTTGCTCGTTACTTCATTGTGTGTGTGTGTGTTGTGGTGTTTAATCTGTGTGTTGCTCGTTACTTCATTGTGTGTGTGTGTGTTGTGGTGTTTAATCTGTGTGTTGCTCGTTACTTCATTGTGTGTGTGTGTGTGTTGTGGTGTTTAATCTGTGTGTTGCTCGTTACTTTATTGTGTGTGTGTTGTGTTTAATCTGTGTGTTGCTCATTACTTCATTGTGTGTGTGTGTTGTGTTTAATCTGTGTGTTGCTCGTTACTTCGAGTGTGTGTGTGTATGTTGTGGTGTTTAATCTGTGTGTTGCTCGTTACTTCATTGTGTGTGTGTGTTGTGTTTAATCTGTGTGTTGCTCGTTACTTCATTGTGTGTGTGTGTATTGTGGTGTTTAATCTGTGTTGCTCGTTACTTCATTGAGTGTGTGTGTGTATGTTGTGGTGTTTAATCTGTGTGTTGCTCGTTACTTCATTGTGTGTGTATTGTGGTGTTTAATCTGTGTGTTGCTCGTTACTTCATTGTGTGTGTGTTGTGTTTAATCTGTGTGTTGCTCGTTACTTCATTATGTGTGTGTGTTGTGGTGTTTAATCTGTGTGTTGCTCGTTACTTCGAGTGTGTGTGTGTATGTTGTGGTGTTTAATCTGTGTGTTGCTCGTTACTTCATTGTGTGTGTGTGTTGTGGTGTTTAATCTGTGTGTTGCTCGTTACTTCATTGTGTGTGTGTGTGTTGTGGTGTTTAATCTGTGTTGCTTGTTACTTCATTGTGTGTGTGTATGTTGTGGTGTTTAATATGTGTGTTGCTCTTTACTTCATTGAGTGTGTGTGTGTTGTGGTGTTTAATCTGTGTGTTGCTCGTTACTTCATTGTGTGTGTGTGTGTTGTGGTGTTTAATCTGTGTGTTGCTCGTTACTTCATTGTGTGTGTGTGTGTTGTGGTGTTTAATCTGTGTGTTGCTCGTTACTTCATTGTGTGTGTGTGTTGTGGTGTTTAATCTGTGTGTTACTCGTTACTTCATTGTGTGTGTGTTGTGGTGTTTAATCTGTGTGTTGCTCATTACTTCATTGTGTGTATTGTGGTGTTTAATCTGTGTGTTGCTCGTTACTTCATTGTGTGTGTGTTGTGTTTAATCTGTGTGTTGCTCGTTACTTCGAGTATGTGTGTGTATGTTGTGGTGTTTAATCTGTGTGTTGCTCGTTACTTCATTGTGTGTGTGTGTTGTGGTGTTTAATCTGTGTGTTGCTCGTTACTTCATTGTGTGTGTGTGTGTATTGTGGTGTTTAATCTGTGTGTTGCTCGTTACTTCATTGTGTGTGTGTGTGTTGTGGTGTTTAATCTGTGTGTTGCTCGTTACTTCATTGTGTGTGTGTGTGTTGTGGTGTTTAATCTGTGTGTTGCTCGTTACTTCATTGTGTGTGTGTGTGTGTTGTGGTGTTTAATCTGTGTGTTGCTCGTTACTTTATTGTGTGTGTGTTGTGTTTAATCTGTGTGTTGCTCATTACTTCATTGTGTGTGTGTGTTGTGTTTAATCTGTGTGTTGCTCGTTACTTCGAGTGTGTGTGTGTATGTTGTGGTGTTTAATCTGTGTGTTGCTCGTTACTTCATTGTGTGTGTGTGTTGTGTTTAATCTGTGTGTTGCTCGTTACTTCATTGTGTGTGTGTGTATTGTGGTGTTTAATCTGTGTTGCTCGTTACTTCATTGAGTGTGTGTGTGTATGTTGTGGTGTTTAATCTGTGTGTTGCTCGTTACTTCATTGTGTGTGTATTGTGGTGTTTAATCTGTGTGTTGCTCGTTACTTCATTGTGTGTGTGTTGTGTTTAATCTGTGTGTTGCTCGTTACTTCATTATGTGTGTGTGTTGTGGTGTTTAATCTGTGTGTTGCTCGTTACTTCGAGTGTGTGTGTGTATGTTGTGGTGTTTAATCTGTGTGTTGCTCGTTACTTCATTGTGTGTGTGTGTTGTGGTGTTTAATCTGTGTGTTGCTCGTTACTTCATTGTGTGTGTGTGTGTTGTGGTGTTTAATCTGTGTGCTTGTTACTTCATTGTGTGTGTGTATGTTGTGGTGTTTAATATGTGTGTTGCTCTTTACTTCATTGAGTGTGTGTGTGTTGTGGTGTTTAATCTGTGTGTTGCTCGTTACTTCATTGTGTGTGTGTGTGTTGTGGTGTTTAATCTGTGTGTTGCTCGTTACTTCATTGTGTGTGTGTGTGTTGTGGTGTTTAATCTGTGTGTTGCTCGTTACTTCATTGTGTGTGTGTGTTGTGGTGTTTAATCTGTGTGTTACTCGTTACTTCATTGTGTGTGTGTTGTGGTGTTTAATCTGTGTGTTGCTCATTACTTCATTGTGTGTATTGTGGTGTTTAATCTGTGTGTTGCTCGTTACTTCATTGTGTGTGTGTTGTGTTTAATCTGTGTGTTGCTCGTTACTTCGAGTATGTGTGTGTATGTTGTGGTGTTTAATCTGTGTGTTGCTCGTTACTTCATTGTGTGTGTGTGTTGTGGTGTTTAATCTGTGTGTTGCTCGTTACTTCATTGTGTGTGTGTGTGTATTGTGGTGTTTAATCTGTGTGTTGCTCGTTACTTCATTGTGTGTGTGTGTTGTGGTGTTTAATCTATGTTGCTCGTTACTTCATTGTGTGTGTGTTGTGGTGTTTAATCTGTGTGTTGCCCGTTACTTCATTGTGTGTGTGTGTGTTGTTGTGTTTAATCTGTGTGTTGCTCGTTACTTCATTGTGTGTGTGTTGTGTTTAATCTGTGTGTTGCTCGTTACTTCATTGTGTGTGTGTGTGTTGTGTTTAATCTGTGTGTTGCTCATTACTTCATTGTGTGTGTGTGTGTTGTGTTTAATCTGTGTGTTGCTCGTTACTTCGAGTGTGTGTGTGTGTATGTTGTGGTGTTTAATCTGTGTGTTGCTCGTTACTTCATTGTGTGTGTGTGTGTTGTGTTTAATCTGTGTGTTGCTCGTTACTTCATTGTGTGTGTGTTGTGGTGTTTAATCTGTGTGTTGCTTGTTACTTCATTGTGTGTGTGTGTTGTGGTGTTTAATCTGTGTGTTGCTCGTTACTTCATTGAGTGTGTGTGTGTGTATGTTGTGGTGTTTAATCTGTGTGTTGCTTGTTACTTCATTGTGTGTGTGTGTGTTGTGTTTAATCTGTGTTGCTTGTTACTTCATTGTGTGTGTGTGTGTTGTGTTTAATCTGTGTTGCTTGTTACTTCATTGTGTGTGTGTGTGTTGTGTTTAATCTGTGTTGCTTGTTACTTCATTGTGTGTGTTCTGTGGTGTTTAATCTGTGTGTTGCTCGTTACTTCATTGTGTGTGTGTTTTGTGGTGTTTAATCTGTGTTGCTCGTTACTTCATTGTGTGTGTGTGTGTGTGTGTATGTTGTGGTGTTTAATCTGTGTGTTGCTCGTTACTTCATTGTGTGTGTGTGTGTGTGTATGTTGTGGTGTTTAATCTGTGTGTTGCTCGTTACTTCATTGTGTGTGTGTGTTGTGGTGTTTAATCTGTGTGTTGCTTGTTACTTCATTGAGTGTGTGTGTGTGTGTTGTGGTGTTTAATCTGTGTGTTGCTCGTTACTTCATTGTGTGTGTGTTGTGGTGTTTAATCTGTGTATTGCTCGTTACTTCATTGTGTGTGTGTGTGTGTGTTGTGGTGTTTAATCTGTGTTGCTCGTTACTTCATTGTGTGTGTGTTGTGGTGTTTAATCTGTGTGTTGCTCGTTACTTCATTGTGTGTGTGTGTTGTGGTGTTTAATCTGTGTTGCTTGTTACTACATTGAGTGTGTGTGTGTGTGTTGTGGTGTTTAATCTGTGTGTTGCTCGTTACTTCATTGTGTGTGTGTGTTGTGGTGTTTAATCTGTGTTGCTTGTTACTACATTGAGTGTGTGTTGTGGTGTTTAATCTGTGTGTTGCTCGTTACTTCATTGTGTTTGTGTTGTTGTGTTTAATCTGTGTGTTGCTCGTTACTTCATTGTGTGTGTGTGTGTTGTGGTGTTTAATCTGTGTTGCTCGTTACTTCATTGTGTGTGTGTGTTTGTGTTGTTGTGTTTAATCTGTGTGTTGCTCGTTACTTCATTGTGTGTGTGTGTTTGTGTTGTTGTGTTTAATCTGTGTGTTGCTCGTTACTTCATTGTGTGTGTGTGTTGATCTGTAACTGTGAGGTGTTTTTCTTCTCTCTGCAGACTGGAATACTGCAGTATTACAGATAAAGGCTGTGCTGATCTGATTAACGCTGTGAATCCCTCACTCCGGAAATCTCTCAGGCTGAACCTGAACAACAATAAAGCAGGAGATTTAGCAGAAGAAGCTCTTAGGTCTACTGAAAGATCCGCACTGTAAACTGGAGAAACCAGAGTGAGTTACTGACTTGCTGTCTCCACATACACACACACACACACACACACACACACACACACAAACGCACACACACACACACACACACACACAAAAGAAATGCAGAGTTCAGTAGTTGGAGCTAGACAGCTTTGACTGTTGTTTATTAGTCTGCATCATATTTGAAGTTGTTCTGTGGTAGGTAAAACATTCTAAGTGCACCCATATAGGATTTTTTGGACACCTTTTTTCTGTGTTTTATCCACCTGGTTGCTCACTACCAATGAACACACAACACACAACACTAAACAGAACAGAGCTTCAATTTATATTAAGACTACATGTCAAGGGTGTAACTCTAGGTTAAACATTGGAGGGATTAAACAGGGTCCAGAAGCATGCAGCCACAGGGACAAAATAGCAAAAGCTAACCGCAAGAATTACAACCTAAATATGCAGTTGATTACATTGATGGTATAACACAGTTAGAAAATCAACTGGGCCTGTCACGATTATTACATAGTCACCTGATTACTCCAGTTGACTCCAGTCGTTTTCCACAGTTGTTAGATTTCGCAATCATACTATGCTGCAATTTCAAAATAGTTGGGACGCTGTGTAAAATGTAAATAAATGTAAATAAAAACAGAATGCAATGATTTGCAAATCTCATTGGCCCATATTTTATTCACAATAGAACACAGAACACATATCAGATGCTGAAAGTGAGGCATTTTACCATTTCATGAAAAACATTAACTCATTTAGAACTTGATGGCAGCAACATGGCTCAAAAAAGTTGGGACAGGGGCAACAAAACACTGGAAAAGTAAGTGGCACTAATAAAAAACAGCTGGAGGAGCAATTTGCAACTAACCCATGTGACTGGGTATAAAAAGAGCATTTTAGAGAGGCAGAGTCTCTCAGAAGCAAAGATGGACAGAGGTTCACCAACTTGCGAAAAACTGTCTAAAAATTGTGGAACAATTTCAGAAAAATATTCCTCAATGTAAAATTGTGAAGACTTTGGAAATCCCACCATCTACAGTACATAATATCATCAAAAGATTTAGAGAATCTGAAGAAATCCCTGTGCGCGACGGACAGGGCCAACGGTCAATACTGGATGCTCATGATCTTTGGGCCCTCTGGCGGCACTGCGTCGAAACAGGCAGGATTCTGTACTGGAAATCACTGCATGGGCTCAGGAACACTTCCAGAAATCACTGTCTGTGAACACAGTTCACCGTCAAGCCACAAATGCAAATTAAAGCTGTATCATACAAAGACAAAACCATATATATAACTATACATATAAACAGGATCCAGAAACGCTGCCAACTTCTCTGAGTCAAAGCTCATTTAAAATGGACTTGAGGGAAGTGGAAAAGTGTCCTGTGGTCCTATGAAATCATGGACACTGTGTCCTCTGGGCTAAAGACCACTCAGCTTGTTATCAGTGCACAGTTCAAAAGCCAGTATTCATGATGGTATAGGGGGCAGTAGTGCACATGGCATGGGTGACGTGCACATCTGTGAAGGCACCATTAATGCTGAATGATATAAACATGTTTTGGCAACATTTGCTGCCTTCCAGACGACGTCTTTTTCAGGGAAGGCCTTGATTTTTTCAGCAAGACGATGTCAAACCACATTCTGCATGTATTACAGCAGCATTGCTCCATATTAAAAGAGTCTGGGTGCTAAAGTGGCCTACCTGAAGTCCAGACCTGTCACCACTGATAACGTTTGCCGCAATATGAAATGCAAAAATATGACAAAGGAGACCACAAACTGTTGAGAAGCTGAAATCCTGTATCAAACAAGAACAGGAAAACATTTCACTTTCAGACCTACAGCAGTGTCTCCTCAGTTCACAAACACTTACAGAGTGTTGTTAAATCAAGAGGTGATGAAACACAGTGGTAAACAGGCCCCTGTCCCAACTTTCAACATCACTACATTCTACACACTACATTGCAAATCACTACATTCTGTTTTTATTTACATTTATAAACATTTTACACAGCGTCCCAACATTTTTGGAATTAGGGTTGTATATAAAAGAAAGAAAATGCATTCATTGAGACATCAAGGGGCTTATGAAAACAAAAATCAAGTTCTGACTTTCAGCATGAGTAATGTTCATATTTGTTAACTATGTACCTAACTCTGTTTTTAACATGTGTACTAGCAAAATGAGTGTTTTTTGCTTATATTCTCTCTCTTGTAAAAAGCATGTAGCTTTGCATAACTCTACACATAATTCTGTGTAACTAGACATTTGTGTGAGTTTGTGTGTTTAAGTACACAACAGTGTAGTTTATCATTTAGCCACAAGTAAACATAACTAGGAAGTAGGATGGCTAATCAGCCAGTTTGACCACTTTAGGCTTGTGCTTTAATACATAAATGAACAATTAATTAAGCAATTATTTATGACAGTTAATCATCAGCTGAAATTTCATGATCGTTACAACCCTAGAACCATTATCTTTACTGGATTTCTAACAAGTTGTAGATGTTAATGCTTTCATGCATGAACTACTAAAAATACCTAGACATTTTAGGTGTTTTAGAGGTTTTTACTACTCAGAAGTGAATTGAGGTTCACGAAAATATACTTCCAAAAATCCAAAAATCACATTTAATAATAGTCTGTATCTCCCTGTATATATATGTGACCAGCACATTCTAGAAGTGAAGCGAGAAACAAGGGTGGAGAACACAATTATTGAAAAAGACTTTCACTGTGTTTCTAAACTCACATGCCTCACTTTTTATCTCACTTCCTGCGTATAATATAGCTGTATTCCCTCCTCATGTCTGTCAGCTTCTGCCTCCTGTGTTTCTCCTTCTCTTTTTATGCCTATCATAATAATAAACAATAACAGTTGTTATAATTTTAGCATAAACGCAGACCTAAAATCACCCTTTAAGTATTTAATATCTGGAAGCGCTTTGCTGGTAGCATGTGGACCACAGGAGTGATGATGTATAGATAATTTAGTTAGGACAATAATGTTAAGTAAACATATTGTGCTCTTTTTTTAAACCATTTAATAAAGTTCCTTGTGCTCTTTGAAAGACAACCGTGACGAATATGAAAGAAATAACACCTTAATTCAGTGTTTGTTTGTTAAATTTACTGTCATTTATCTCTCAGTGAAGAACAGTTAATTTTCTGGGTGTGTTGTATGTTAATGAGCACTGCTCTCATTGGTGGTCTCAACAGGGGGTGTGGCTTTATGTGGTGGAGAGCTCCGCAGTGGCTGCTGTAGAGCTCATTGTAGAGACACCAAACAGAGAGATGTTTTAAGGGGGGTCAGGGTGTTTGTTCAATGTGACGCAATATTGAGCAGCAATTTTTCATAGTTCTCTGAACAGGAAAGATGAGTAAAAAATATTACAGCCTGTCAGGTCAGCTAGATTTAGAGCTACTTTAAATCAACTATAAGTTCTAGCTAACACAACCACAGATAATGATAATGCTAACGCTAGTCTCGGTCTCAGACTGAGTCCACAGTCTGTTGTGGTGAAGGCTGTTGAAGGCTGTTGTACAGTAACATTAAAATCTGTTTGTACCTAAATATTGATTATCAAAATTAATTAATATTATGGGGCAGCATAGTCAAGTTATGATTATCGAAGGTGGTGTAATCAAACCCCCCATACTGCTCCCACCCCGGTCACACACCCCTGGAAATCTATTGCTACATGACCAAATTTCTATTTGCAGAAATACCCAGTTTTACTTACCATGACGGGAAACAAGTATTCAGACACTTTTGTTTTTGTTATAATTCCAGTGCATATATAAATATACACACATCTTTTATATGATAATTTTGAAATAAATATTAACAAAAAAATTTTGAATGTTGAAAAAACTAGATCAGTAGGGCCCATGAGGGTGCAGTTTGGGTTCATTCCTCTTGAAGAGGCACCAGAATCACTGTGCTGTGTGACTGTAGTCATTACAGAGTTACTGTGTCTGATCTCAGTCTGAGTGAGATGATGAGTTTATACAGTGTTAATAGAGTTGAATTAAAGTTAGAGAGTGTTTAAAGAAGGAGCTCTGAGTTGATGGTGTGACAGTGATGAGAGTTCATGTCTGATCATTCTGTTCTGTGTCTGATCTCAGTCTGAGTGAGATGAGGAGTTTATACAGTGTTAATAGAGTTGAATTAAAGTTAGAGAGTGTTTAAAGAAGGAGCTCTGAGTTGATGGTGTGACAGTGATGAGAGTTCATGTCTGATCATTCTGTTCTGTGTCTGATCTCAGTCTGAGTGAGATGAGGAGTTTATACAGTGTTAATAGAGTTTAATTAAAGTTAGAGAGTGTTTAAAGAAGGAGCTCTGAGTTGATAGTGTGACTGATGAGAGTTCATGTCTGATCATTCTGTTCTGTGTCTGATCTCAGTCTGAGTGGGATGAGGAGTTTATACAGTGTTAATAGAGTTGAATTAAAGTTAGAGAGTGTTTAAAGAAGGAGCTCTGAGTTGATGGTGTGACGGTGATGAGAGTTCATGTCTGATCATTCTGTTCTGTTTCTGTCTTACAGGATCTGAACACTCAGACGCCAAACCTGAAGAGATTCTCAGAGATCTGAGGACCCTCTGTGTGTGATGGTCATCTGTGTGTTTGTGTCTTTATAGTTTAAATGTGTGAACAGATGCAGGTCTGACTGCTTACCCTGCTTACTGTGTGACATCACTTTCTGTGCATAAGTGATTTGTACCTTCTGTGACCTGTCAATCAAACCCCTCATATTATGTAAGGACCAACATTGGGGGTGATGAGGATGAGAGAGAGAGAGAGAGAGAGTAAATAAAATCAATTTGAAAATATCACTTGACAGAGTGAAGGTTTCGATATGTATTTTCAGCTGAAAATAAACATATAAATAAATAGTTACATGATTAATTAAATAAACATAAACAGGGCAGCTGGAGTCAAATCAGTTTATGGGACAGTAATAGCAGTTTATTGAAGAACGAGGGATGGGGAAGAACAAATGAAAGGAAAAGGTGTATTACAGTTACAGATGGGTAAAAAGGAGCAATGATCTTGTTAAAAAACTAAAGGAGAAGTTTATTGTTGGTCTAATACTCATATTCAGCAGTTAGTCTGTTCACTCTGAGATTTAGGTCACACTTTTGCAGAATGGACTTCACTAAATGTTGATCCTAGTTACGGCCCTGACCACTGTCTCTGTTTACTTCCTATAGTTTAACCTAAAGCTCAGTCTAACACCACAAACGATGGGCTGTACATACTGAACATACTGCATTTACACAGACTACTCTGCTGTGTTTCTGCTGCAGTTTGTAGTGCTGTAAACTAGAGGTGGGCAATATGGCAGAAATATCATCACAATATTAATATACAATACATATTTTGACACACAGTGCACTAGTATTGTCACATTAAAAACTGACAAAAAACTCTGGATACAATAAATAATATTCAGTGTTTCCCACGGTGCACTGCTCTAAATCCAGTTAAACAGGACTGATTAAGCTCTCTTTATGATGAAACATGCAGCTGGTCAGTGTTCTTTAATTAGAGAGTTTATTATTATATACTCAGAAAGGAAAATTGTGTATTATGATAAACTTTATCATGACAAATATTGTCATCTTGCCCACCTCTACAGTAAAATATGATATTGTTAGTGTATCTTCTACATTCTGCTGCACAGCTGATGATGATGAATGAGAGTGGTTCTGATGGTGAACAGCAGTGCAGCATGAATGAGCTTTAGATTCAACTGAGTGTCAGTCTGTAACCCAGAGCTCCAGCAGCATCAGGCTTCATTACACACTTCACCACTAGAGGGAGACAAACAGTAAGACATTATAAACCTTACTGCAGTGAAAGAACCCCTCTGTCCTTATGCTCTCTATGCTTATGTTTATAAATGTGAAAACAATGTAAATAATGCATTGAAATGTTTATATACTCTTGATATTATTACATATTATTTTACTTTTATATTTACTAACATGATTCTGATGGTGAACAGCAGTGCAGTATGAATGAGCTTTAGATTCAGCTGAGTGTCAGTCTGTAACCCAGAGCTCCAGCAGGATCAGGCTTCATTACACACTTCACCACTAGAGGGTGATAAAATCTTACTGCAGTGGAAGAACCGCCTCTGTCCTTATGCTCTCTATATCCTTATGTTTATAAACGTAAAAACAAAAAGAAACACAAGTGTGTGTTGAAATGTGATTATCCTCTTATTGTATTGTTACATATTTTACTTTTACATTATTAATTTACTTTTATATTTACTAACATGATTCTGATGGTGAACAGCAGTGCAGTATGAATGAGCTTTAGATTCAGCTGAGTGTCGGTCTGTAACCCAGAGCTCCAGCAGGATCAGGCTTCATTACACACTTCACCACTAGGGGGAGACCAACAGTAAGACATTATAACACCTTACTGCAGTGGAAGAGCTGCCTCTGTCTGCCTCTGTCTGACTCTGTCCTTATGCTCTCTATCCTTGTGTATATACACGTAAAAACAAAAAGAAACAAAAAAACAAGCGTGTTGAAATATGATTAACATCTTATTGTATTGTTACATATTATTTTACTTTTAGATTTACTAACATGATTCTGATGGTGAACAGCAGTGCAGCATGAATGAGCTTTAGATTCAGCTGAGTGTCAGTATTTAACCCAGAGCTCCAGCAGGATCAGGCTTCATTACACACTTCACCACTAGAGGCAGACAAACAGTAAGACATTATAAAACCTTACTGCAGTGGAGGAACTGCCTCAGTCTGACTCTGTCCTCATGCTCTCTATCATGTTCATAAATGTAAAAAACAAAAGAAGTGTGTGTTGAAATGTGATCAGCCTCTGATTGTATTATTACATATTATTTTACTTTTAATTTTTCTTTTATATTTACTAACTCCACATTTATGATCTGTTACATGTTTGAAGCCAATAAAACGGATGTTAAGATGATCTGGATGTTTCTGTCTCTCACTGCTGATCTGTGTTTTGTCTCTTCATCTGAATAAACCCTCAGCTGATCCTCTAACTCTGCTCACAGTTTCTTTTAGGTCCTCTAATAAAAATCTAAAACAAGCAGCAGAAGCAGGCGGAATAACCAGGGGGAGGGAATTAAGTCTTAAATGTGTTTCAGAGGAAAATGTGTTTTTAAAAAAGAAAACCTATTTAACTGAATTTTACCAGGATTTTTACTACAAACCACAAAAAACAAGCTTTTCCATCTTAGCTTAGATTTACGCAGTTTATACCTATTTATTTATTTATTTATTTGTTTGTTTGTCATTTAGCTGTGGAGGGTGAAACATTTATATGAAAATAAATAAAAGTGGAAATAAATAAATGGCAGAAAACTGTAAATAAACATAAAATCATAAATAAATAAGTGCATATTTTATTTATTTATGTGATTCTAAATTTGTTTCTATATTTCTTTTTTCAGTATGCTAATGAGAAAGACTAAACCTGCACACTATTGGTTAATCATAGAGGAAGCAGTGTGTTTGATTAATCTTACCTTGTTTTTGAAACGCTGTTAACACTTCAGTGATGCTGGAAGATCTGAGCCGAGTCTCTACACTGTTACGTATAATAGTGGACGAATCAGACAGTGGACACCTGGACAGGGACTACGCAGAGTTGGGACAGCTGAGTGGTGAAGTAGATGGAGCTGCATTGGTGACCCTTCAAGACGCTGCTGACCAACTTCATCACCTGTCAGAGTCTGAAGACTTCATCATTCTGTATCACTAACAGCCGGACGCTGACTGTGTGTGCAGACACGGCTCAGCCAGACGGACTCTGATCTGCAGACGCTGATGCTGCAGGGTCAGCAATGTCCAGCTCAGCCCACTGGAGGGTCATATTTAATCAATGTAATTATATAATAACACTGTATAACTGTAATATCTGTCAGTTAACAGAAACAAATGAACACAGCTGTTTAGTCGAACAGTGAAATCTAATAGAACCTGACAAAGTCACCAGTTCACCAGACTGGGATTGTCTAGGATTCTACATCCATTCTATCAACCTGCTGATTAGTAGAGTCTGGTTCACCTTTCAAACCAACGCCGACCAATAGTCTGTTAGAATTACGTTAGTGTTGCCCACCTCATTGGACTGGACTGGAGGAACAAGTAGAGAAATAAATAAAATGCAGAAACATATAAAAGCAGAAATTAATAAAAAGATTATTTCAGTATTTCTGCTCGTATGTGTATATTTTTTCTGCTATTTTTCTTTTCTTGGCTGGTTTTGTCCTCCATGTTCCTTGTTTGTCTGCTAAAACAGATCATCAGTGTTTAAGTCCACGCCAGCTGTGATAAACGCTCATCTTATATCCTTCAAAGTGAATGTAAAGCTGAAGTTTCAGTTCGTTACAGAGACTCTGAGCTGAGGGTCAGTTCAGTTGGAAACAGGTAGTGAGGATGAGGAACTGGACTTCAGTGGAACCACTTTTAACACAGAAAACAGCTGCTCTGGCTACGCGCTCCTGCAGACACTGTTTAACTGGGTTTATTAGCTAGTCTGCCTGAGCATTAGCTTACCTTAGCTTATGTTAGCTTACTTCAGCTAACAGACATAATAAAGAGCTGCTGTATTTGTTGTAAGATAGAAAATAGCAAGAGAACACAGTAGATTTAGTGCTTCTGCCTCAGTGCTGACACACAGGATTATGGGAAATGTAGGCAGTAAAGGAAACATCAACACTGCATTTAAAAGGCAAAGAAACAGAGGAAGCACAGCAGACATTGTTTCATAGACATTAGATTTGGACACGACTGAGAGCCTCAGAACACGGTCTGAGTAGAGTCTTTTACCTCTCAGACACAGTTAGTTAGTGAGTGTGTATGTGTGTGTGTGTGTGTGTGTGTATGTGTGTGTGTGTGTATGTGTGTGTGTGTGTGAGGGTGGACAATGTGGACAGGCTGCTGACTGGCTACAGCTGCTAAAGGAGAACCCTACGTTGGACACTTGTGATATTTTAAACATCTGGTATTTTTGTATAAACTGTTATGACTGTATTGATTTAATAAACAATAATGCGGTGGGTCCAGCAGACCACTGAGTAACACACACACCCACACCACACAGGGGTTAATAAAAATACTACATTCATCAACACACAAGCATTTAAGCATCCCTGATGATATGATTAATATGATTAATATCATATTGAATTAATAAACTCTTAAATAAAATAAATTCTATATGATTAGAAGTAAGTGAAATTAAAAAATACAACAGATAAAATAAAAAAGAAAGATACTTATTGTTGCTTTGTAAACATCTCATTCTTTAAGAGTTTTTTAAGAGTTTTCCATTCTTTGGGTTCTTGATCATCCTCAGAGTCTTTATGAGGTAATCAGGTTCTGCTGTTCTTGTTCTCACAGTAACAAATTACGTCCTTTAGTTCAAATTATAATCAGAGCTCATATCAGAGCAACGAAGGCAGAGTTTCATCCAAACACAGGAGACACTACAGCTGGAAAAAAGTTTGTTTTAAGTTTAATGTTTTCCTTACAATTTCCACAAAATGATGTGATGTTGTATGTGATATTGTATGTGATGTTGGATGTGATGTTGGATGTGATATTGTATGTGATGTTGGATGTGATGTTGGATGTGATATTGTATGTGATGTTGGATGTGATGTTGTATGTGATGTTGGATGTGATGTATGTGATGTTGGGTGTGATATTGTATGTGATATTGTATGTGATGTTGGATGTGATATTGTATGTGATGTTGGATGTGATGTATGTGATGGGTGTGATACTGTATGTAATGTTGGGTGTGATATTGTATGTGATGTTGGATGTGATATTGTATGTGATGTTGGATGTGATATTGTATGTGATATTGTATGTGATGTTGGATGTGATATTGTATGTGATGTTGGATGTGATGTATGTGATGGGTGTGATACTGTATGTAATGTTGGGTGTGATATTGTATGTGATGTTGGATGTGATGTTGGATGTGATATTGTATGTGATGTTGGATGTGATATTGTATGTGATGTTGGATGTGATGTTGGATGTGATATTGTATGTGATGTTGGATGTGATGTTGGATGTGATGTTGGATGTGAAATTGTATGTGATGTTGGATGTGATATTGTATGTGATGTTGGATGTGATGTTGGATGTGATGTTGTGAGCATTTAGCAATGTGATTTTCCAAAAGACCAAATAATACGTTTCCACAATAAACAACTCATTTCATCAATATTATGAACAATAATGACACTGAGGATTTAGCAAAAACCTATTTTCACACATTGACAAAGACCCAAATTAGTGAATACCTGTCTGTGAGTAGCTGCTCCAGAATAAACCAGCTGTGTCAGCGTTACGTTTACATTATAAAGTGAGTTTATTACAGTAATGCTGGGTTGATTTTATGTATTAAGTTTATATTATTTTATTATATTTCTTTATTAGTAATTAGGTATGGAGAGATAATGCTTTAAAGGGAACCCTGACTGTTTAGACTTACAGGCCCCAGTATGGTGAACATGTCCAACACCTTTCAAATATGCTGTGTAAACCAACCAAAATACAGCATTTATTACTAAAGATAGACGAAATCCTTCGACCAGCTGACTGCTGTTAATGTTGCTGCATCAGATGGCTGCTCTCTCTCTTCTCCAGGAACAGTGAGCTAAATAACTACTTAACTCTTACTGATCATTCAGCCTGTCCAGCTTTAGCTAAGGCGTGACAATCAGGAGAAGAACGCTCTGATTGTTTTATTTTCTGTATGAGAATTTCTTTTGGTAGCATTCACAGGGAAAGCTCATTAATATTCATTAAGCTCTGCTCAGAATGCTGCCTGACTGGCCGAGCAAAACACGGCTCAGCTGAGGAGGAGTCGAGGCTAATCACAGTGACAAACTTCACAACATTATTTTACAGTCTTTACAACAACATCAAACTAATATACTGTAAAATGATGCTGAAACCTGTTTAATATGCAAACTAAATAAAGAACAGTACAGGCTACTGAGCAACACTGCTGAGGTCACTGTGTGACCATTGTGATGACACTGCTTGGTCTTTCTGTGTGTGAAAGCCCCCCTGGTATTCAGGGGTCCTGTGTTGTCTGGCTGCTGACTCTCTCTCTCCATAGCGGCGCTGATGCTTCACTGTCAGTAAGTGTCTGTTTATCAGCTGTTCTCCTGTAGAGTCTCTGTTCTAGTGCGGTTCTGCGCTCTTCCTCACATTAACTGAGATCTTCCTCGTCTCCTCTTCTGTAGAGTCTCTGTTCTAGTGCGGTTCTGCGCTCTTCCTCACATTAACTGAGATCTTCCTCGTCTCCTCTTCTGTAGAGTCTCTGTTCTAGTGCGGTTCTGCGCTCTTCCTCACAGTAACTGAGATCTTCCTCGTCTCCTCTTCTGTAGAGTCTCTGTTCTAGTGCGGTTCTGCGCTCTTCCTCACAGTAACTGAGATCTTCCTCGTCTCCTCTTCTGTAGAGTCTCTGTTCTAGTGCGGTTCTGCGCTCTTCCTCACAGTAACTGAGATCTTCCTCGTCTCCTCTTCTGTAGAGTCTCTGTTCTAGTGCGGTTCTGCGCTGTTCCTCACAGTAACTGAGATCTTCCTCGTCTCCTCTTCTGTAGAGTCTCTGTTCTAGTGCGGTTCTGCGCTCTTCCTCACATTAACTGAGATCTTCCTCGTCTCCTCTTCTGTCTTCAGTGTGAGAAATGAGGAACAGTCACTCTTCACTCCAAACTCTTGGGAAACTGGGCGAGTTTTCAGATTTACAGATCTGCTGCAGCTCATTGTAAAGTGTTTCAGAGGAATCCGGGCAGAGTTACAGTTTCTAGACTATGAAGGACCAACTGGGTGAACCAGTCTGCTACAGCGCCACCCTGAGGCAGAGCAGAGCTGCATAGTTAGTTAAGAATATTAAATACAGAAACTCACTGATTGTGCAGTGGGATAAATAAT